CTTTGACATCTAAAGTGATCATGTCAGTCAGAAGATGTTTGTCCCATGCCTCTTGTACATCACAGACTAGTGCAGTGGTGAGGTCTACTGCAGACCTCTGTTAAACAGCACTACACTGATCTTCTGCTAGAATGTGATGATGAAGAGTGAGATGAGACATTTGTCTAGCTATCAGACACTCCAGCACTTTGCTGAGGCAGGATAGCAGTGTGATTGAGCAGTAAGACTTTGGTAGAGAGTAATCTTTTTTCTCTGACTTTGAAATAATCATCATCTCAGTCTTCTTGAAGCTCTGGGGGTGAATTCCTTGATCTATACAGTGTTGAAAGAGTAGAATGATTTGATTGCCTATCACTGGCCATGTCTTTTGAAGAATCTTGGCTGTAATGCTGTCCAGACCAGAAGATGTACTAAGTGTCTAGCAGATAGCTCTGTAGACTTCCTGCTCTGTAAGAGCATCCAGGGTATCTCTCTGCATGAAATTGTTGATGTGTGCTCCAGAATATCTTCTGTGTCAAGATGTCTGGCCAGAAGTGTCTCATGCAGTAGAGAAGATTTGCCAGCACAAGATTGTTCTAGATGTTCATCAGAATGTTGTAAAGAAGAAGTGGGATCTTGAGATTGATATTTATGTCATTTGACAATCTTGTAGACATCTGATAAGAAGGAAGCCTTCTCAATTTGCTGGTGATTTCATGCTCTCTTAGCTTTTCTAATTTCTGCCTGGAATGTCACTTGTTCTGATTGGCAAAGACCATGTCTATGTGCTGCATGATATACTCTTCTGGCTATCTTGACTGCTGGAGTCCATCATGGGGCATGGTGACTCTTGAGTCCTGGGGTGAGAGAGCAGGAGCCTTGTAGAGCCAGTTGAAGAGATTTCATGATGTCCACCACTTCCTCATTCACATCCTCATAGACTGGTGAGGAGAAGAGAGTGAGTAGTTGCAAAAAGTGATCAGCATTGCAGGTTGTGAGGCTAAGCTTCTTCTTCTTAATTGAGTCTGAGTCTGTGATAATTGAACTGTTGTGATAAGAGTTTCATGATCTGAGATGCAGTGCAGTTCAGGAGCAATATGACAGATAGCTGAGTTGGCAGCACAGAAGACAAGGTCAAGTGTGCCTCCTCATCTATGTGTAGGGGATTCAGCTGGGTTGAGAAGCTGGAATTCAAAAGAGATTGCCCAGTTATACAGATTCTCTCCTGCTTGAGGATGTCTATCAGTTGTAGAGTCCCATGCTGTGTGTCTAATATTAAAGTCTCCTAATGCCATCCAGGGGATGGTCTCCATGGTGTGTGTAAGAGAGAGAAGGTCTTGCAGGCCTTGACCTGCATCTGTGGCACCAGATGGGGCATTGTATATGTTGTAGATATTAGCCCTTTTGGAGTTAGAGATCTTAACTGAGACACAGACAACATCCCTTGAGATATCTGCTATAGGTTGGGTTGGCGCAAGGGCCCTTCCATTTCTGACATAGAGCAGTACTCTGGGCCTCTTGGTCCAGTTGGAGAGCAGGGTGAAGCGCTTGTATGAGGGATGGCTTTTGGAGAGGTGGGTGGAGAGGTCCGTGGCTATCCAGGGTTCCTGAATGGCCACAATGTCGCAGGCTCTTTCGTCTGCTAGTGAGAGAGTGATGTCATGGGAGCTTGACTGTCTTCCTACGTTGGCTTGATATACAGTGAGTGTAGATTCGTGAGGAGAGTTGTGACTGATGTGGGACTCTTAAGCAAGCTAGCTACAACTAATAAATACATAGGTGCACGTGACCTTGGGTAGGTGGGGAATTCTCCAACATTTATGTAGGCGGTTGATCAGCGCCGTAACAGTTATAATTTAAAATTATAAAATTGTTAATTTTTTATTAAAAAAATTAAAATAGTTATGTAATCAAAATTTATAAATATAAAAAATAATATTAAAATATGCTTATTATAAATAAAAAAATAAAATATAAATAAATTAAATATTTATTTAAATAAAAAAAATATATATTTAATTATTTATATTTATATAACTATTAAATTATAATATATAGTTAATTAATAGTTAATATATATTATAATTTTTTATTTTACTTTAAAATTTAAAAAGTTAAATTTTTAAATTTTTTTATTAAAATAATTAAATAATTTATTATTTAATATATAAAGTTTTTATTTTAATATTATATATATAAATTTTATCATAATATAATAATTTGTAAAGGGTTAAGCTCTAAGAACTAGAGGCTAGTCCTCCTATATAACAAGGACGAATTGCTTGAGAAAGGGAAGAAAAGAATGAGACGAGAACTCGAGCTTAAGCAAGCTCGCGTAGCATGATCACGTGCGCACGTGCAAACGATGGCTAGGCTGAGTCAGCCAGCCAGAGCGAATCTAGGGGTTAACCCCTTATATAATTATAATTTTATAAATATTAAATAATTAAATATTTTAATTTAATATATTTTAAAAAATAAATTATATTTAAATTTTATAAATATAAATATTAAGTTATAATTATATATTTTTAAAAGTTTTATTATATATAAATTATATATAAATAATTAATATATACTTTACTATATTTTTAAATAGTAATACTTTTATTATATTTTATTATAATAATTTAAAAATATTAAAGATTTTTTAATAAATTAAATAATTTTTTATTTTTAATATATAAAATAATTAAATAATTTATTTAATTATTATTAATTTATATAATTTTAATATAATTTATAAAGTTTAAAATTTTAAAATTTATATTAAAAATAGTTAATAAAAATAATAATAAATAATAATTATAAATTAATATATTTAAAAATTAAAAAAGTAAATAAATATATATAAATTAATAAAAATAATTATAAATATAATTTAATTAAAATAATAACAATAATAATAAAACTCTATAAGTTAAAAATTTTATAAAAATATTATATAATTTAAAATATATATTCAAAATCTGGTTTCAATTAAAAAAAATTCAATTGAGTTTTATATGAAAAGATTGAAGACTATGCTTTAATAACTCACTTAGTAATGCAATCTGCTCAGTAACTAGTGAATTCATTAAATATTACTTTACTTCATCACTGCTACATTTCATTGATCCCTCCTAGCTATCACACTCTGAAGAAACAAGAAGGCATATTTCCTGAAAAAGTCACTGGATCCACATCTCTTGCAAAATTCGGTATTCAACATTCACCTTCCGTGAACCAAATGCTAAATCTGTGAAGTTGAACTTACTTCATACAAACCTCCCTTCTACCGAGCCTGGAACTGCCCCTATGTCTACCTACTCACTTTTACCTGCGCAAATAAAGAAAAAGGTTCCACCAGGCCACTTTGAGCAGGGATACACAAAGTAAGAACATGAGGAGTAAAAGACAGGATGGTTGTTTTACGTGCTGTTCACCCAACCGCTGGCCCCTGAAACGGAACATGACCAAGCCATTGAGCCACGTGGGTTGGATCTTTAGGCTCAAAAATTGCCCGGTATCAAGAGGATTCGAACCCTTTTGACCTGCAACGGGACGGGTCGGACTCGAGATGCCGTATTTGCGGTGATCCGGTCAATAATATGATCCCGGGGTCAACTTGTTGTTCTTTATCACAGGCCATATTATAGTTTTATAGACCAAGGGGCATGGATATTAAGGATGCCGAAACTTACAATGAACCCTGCAAGGGCTCAGGCACTTGAGGAAAATAAACCAGCGGGTAACTAGTTATCATTGCTGCTCACGGGCCGGGGTATTTAAATCATCCCCGTTCAAGGCTCAGTTTTAGAATCCGCATTCAGCAAAGCAACCTGCCTTCAACAATAACATCTATCTATTGCGTACGAAAGTATACCGAGGAATATAGAAACGTTCCCCTTTGTAAAAAAAAACGAAGCGGCGTCAACATCCCGAAAGTGATTCCATAGGATATGAATGCTCTACTAGTACTGTTTTGGTCTAGTGCACTACATGCGAAGGGGAAAAGAAAACAGGTCATGTGATATCTCAACTATTCCGTATTTGGAAAGTTGGCCAGGGGTCTGAATTTCCTGATCGAAGCCAGATCAAGTTTTTGCACGTGATTTGTACTTAGTTGCCTTGGCGTTTCCTGCCTCAGCGATTTTCCCCCTCAAGTTGCTCGATGCCCTTTGGCCTTGGAGAGTCGTTGGTTCCTTCATTCGGCGTCCTTAGTCAGTCTTCCCAAAGGTTGCGTAATATATCAACGACGAACGAACGAAACGGCGCCCATACATCCAACATTCACCATACATATAGCAGATAGCAGACGGCGGACAATAGACAACCGTATAGATGTGGACCTTGAACTTTTCGCATCTCTTCTTCCCGTCACGCTCGTTCGCTGTCAGTCCGTCCCACTGCTAATCATCGTCTTTTGCCGCCCTCGCTACCCTCTCCCCACCTTGCTTTTTGGGTCACAGTCGTTCTGTCGATGTCTCCACATACCGCCTACCCGCCCCCCGTTATATCCCTTCCAATTCACTTCGTTTGACGCACATCTTCGTTGAATCCTCTTCATTTCGCCAACCGCCGCCCTTCATCCTTAGATAATCCGCCTTTACCTTAGCTCTCCCACCCTGGTCGGCTCTCTAGCTCGACATTTCTCTGATTGATTTCCTCCCCTCCTCAGGCTGCGTCTTTGTTTCGTCATCCGGTTCTTAACAAAGCTTTTACGGCTGGCTCAAAGCTTTCAGAGTAACCCCATTTCCTCCCCCTGGTCACACCTGGTCTTTGTGTCGAGTCCATCGAAACCAGTCGCTTTGTCCATTTCTAAGAATCCAAATATACCCCTCCATCATTGCGCCTAGGCAGGAAGTGTATCTCGGCCTCTTCAAACCCACCCCATATAAACCATTTGATATTCAATCGTGCTTCTTTGAAGGGGTGGTGGGGCTTAATTAGCCCCCGGAACTCTTCCCACCACACCAAGCTCATTATTATTCCTGCCAGCCAGGCAGGCTTGATCTTGATTGCGACCATTGCCACCCAAAATGGCTTTCCAACCCGCATATCATGCAGATTCGGACGCAGATGATGAGTATGAACGAAGCGTTATGGCATCCCCTCGTATCGAAGACTCCGAAGCGTCCCCCACGGATTCAGAGATTCCCTCTGCAGAACATACACCAACAACCTTTGGGAATACACTAGATGATAGGAGTTCGCCAAGAACTATCATCACGGAGTGGACAGCGGAGGAATGTGCTGATTTTGCTGCAGGCTTAGGTCTGAGCCAATATTGCGGTGCGTTTCTAGGTATGTGTGATAGCAATCAAAAACATCTGGGTGGCTGGAAAGGAAGTTTTTGGACCTTGTCTTGACTAATGATGTCGTGTGATGTTTTGCTTCGTAGAAAATGAAATCGTTGGCGAAGCTCTTATAGCCCTAAAACACGAAGAGCTGAAGGAGATGGGTATATCGAGTGTGGGCCATCGACTGACGATTCTAAAGAGTGTTTATGAGACCAAGGTCAAGCAAGGAATATCCTTGGACCCCGACCATTATATCCCTCTCTGTACGTCTCCCATGTTCCGCGACCCTGACGTTCTCTTACAGGAGCAAGGACGGAGTTTCTAACAACGGATTCCATCTACAGCTGCGGAGCAGAGTAATGGAGGTGAAACCGCGACCCAAGATGATATCTCCCGTATCATTCAATCTATTAGGCTGCGAGATGAAAGGATCATAGCTGCAGAAGCAGAGCTTAGAAAACTGGCAGATGATTACCGCAAACTGCGTGAAGAATTGTTGCCAGTAGTGAAATTTGCCAAAGACAGATTGCAGCCTTTGCCTTATCAGCCAAATTCAACATACACGGGCACTACTATTAACTCAGACTTTCATACCCATGAACAGACACTCACAAATCCTCAAATTATAGCACAACCTGAAAAACAAGGAAACAGCCTCACCAGGACGTTCTCCAAGAAGTTATTCGCTGGAGGATCAACGCCCAAAAACAATTCTCCAACTTATATCCCTCAATTCATACCCGAGGGAAGAACACTTACCGATAACTCATTAGACCCGTCAGCCGCAGCTTTGGCAGCTTCATCACATCTAACAGCTTCGATGAGTGGCGGCCAACCTTCTCCCAAGGGTATGCCCTCTCCCACATCCCCTGGCAGTTTCTACCCGCAGCAAACACTCGCCTCTCGCTCATATGCACGGGAAACGTCAAACAACTCAAACCGCGGAATGCACGACCACCCCGATGACCCCCAATCCCAACAACGGCCCGACAGATCCATAGCAGCCACACCCTCCGCTCCACCAAACCGACCAGACCCTCCGAACTCCGCAATAGGCAACATCACCAGCTCACGAAATCAAGGGGAAGCTTCCGCGCCAAGCGTGGAAATCTTCAAATCCTTCCGCGTATCCATGGATGACCCATGTCTACGAGTCCTGCCCGCTGCACTCAAAAAGTACAACATCAACGAAGACTGGCGGCTGTATGCGTTATATATTGTCTTTGGCGATCAGGAGCGGTGTCTAGGTCTGGACGAGCGACCGTTAATTCTGTTCAAGCAGTTGGAGAAGGAAGGGCGGAAACCTATGTTTATGCTCAGAAAGCAGGCGCAGTTGATCGATGGGCAGATGGTGAGTGCATACCAGGGCCCGCCTGGTACAGCTGGGGCGGGCGGTATTGGCATTTTGCCTGGCAGTGCGGGTGTCGATGGTGGAACTGGTGGGGGTATGGCAAGCGTGGGGCTTGGTCGATCAGGGCAAACACATTCCATACAACTACCCGGCGGCGTTCTTTAACGGGGAACAACAAGGGAGAGAGCGCAATATTTTTATACGTCGCATATCCATCATCTCTCATCTCGTACTTGTTCTTTGTTGTTTTGGCACTTCATCTTATCTCTTGGTGTTCATGGTTCTGATTGCCTTGCAAGGAAAAGAAGGAAATCAACATGGTCTGCTTTTTATTGCTTACTTAACTTCTTTTTTTGGTTTTTCGGACTGTTATTTTTCTCATCGACGTCATGATCATCATATCATTCATAGCTTGGGTGTTTAGTTTTTGATATTTTGGCTCTCATGTCTGATTGACCTTTGTTTTCTCCCTTACATCTTCAAACTGTTTTTACCACGGACCTTTTTCTTTTCTATCAAAGATTCCTTGGTTTCCATCATATTTGTAAATGCACAAGCACCCTTATCTTACGCTTTCTTGAAGATGGTGGCAAAGGGATTGTTTCTGGAACATTGTACTCATCCAGCTTTGTCACTTGCTTTTACTATCTATTACGATATCTAGTTTATCACCTGGGATCTCCTGTGTTCTTCTTTGATCTACATTTTCTGTTGACACATCCTGATCTTCTTTCATCAACTTCTTATCTGACTTAGCCTTTCCTTTGCAACCACAGGATTTCTGTTGCTTTACGCTCTCTCTTGTGTGCTTGGATCTGGTTCTTTAGGTGTGGGACTTTGATTTATTGACTACTATCATGTATGATGAGGGGGTACCATAGCTATCTAACTATTACAAACTATCCATTTACTCTCTTACCTAGCTTCCGCGAAGGGTTCACGACGATTTCCTATTCGGACGTGGGGTTACTAGCTACCGCTTTATTATATTTGGCTTCGCTTGATTGTTGTCATTAGGAACACTTATTTCGACCCCTCGTTCAGCGTATATGCCACACTTCATCCGGGTGGGGACCACGGAGCGGCTCCTCCACGGCTAAGTCGGCGAGCGCTCTTCATCGTACATGCCTCTGCTCAGATCAATTTTAGTAAAAGTCACCTGGGATAACTATCAAAGTAAAATGATACATATAAAATACACTGCGCTTTCTCGCACCCATTTGCAACCAGGCACCATCTTCGTCTTCTCCTGGCTACTTGTCTCTTGAGCTATGATAGCATTAGGGCTTACCCTCACCCTCACTGCAACAAATGGGATCTAAAGATTTTAAAACCCTCCTTCGGTGATAGTCTTACCGATTGTGCGCGAGGAAGTAACATTTTCAGCAACAATGGATCCTTGCCGCCTGGTGCATGAGTAGAGCCAGATATATGTTGCTCCCTCTATTGCTTTAGCAACAAAAACTAAAAGAATACAAGAAATAAATAAAAAAAAATAATAATAATGATCTGTAAACAGTGAGCTCAACCTAGAAAACAGAGCAACAATAGCCCAACCGACGACTACAACTGGCTACACAATATCACCTCTCTCCCTCTGTCCATATCCAAGTTAACAACTACCCCACAAACCGACGACATAAAACTTCCACAACTACGCCGTCAGCGGCGCAGTCTGTTCCCAAAAAATAAATCCCCTCTACCTCCTCGACATCCTCGTCCCCTCATTCCTCGAATACCAAATCCCCACCGACTTCGCAGACAGTGCGCACCACCACCACCACCACGACCCCCCACGACGACCCCACTACGACCCTCTCCTACCAAACCGTTTAGTTAACTAGTTACTCATCATGGATCTACACCAACGACCTCGCCAACCACAGCTTCTTATCCGACATGGAAATGCCCAACCTCACAACCCCAGACTCCGCAGATTGCATCCTCTCAGCCCTGGATGAGCTATATGCGCAATGAGCACGGTATTTTGTTCTCATGAATATTCCGCGGCTGCAGCTGGCGCCGGAGTGGGGAGGAGTGGGGAAGACGTGGGCGTGGCCTGATAAGCCGGGGAATATTACCACGGTTTAGTCATGGGATGTGGTAGTAGGTGGTGGTGGTGGTGAATGAGATGTTTAGGTATTGGACGGGGTATGAGGTTGTTGGTTCCTGCTAGGCAAAAGGGGGTTAGGATTGCGGTTATGGATGTGAATAGGTTGGTGAGTTTGAGAGAAAGCAAAAAAGAAATTATTAATTAAGCTGGACTTGGTTAGGTAGCTTACTCTTCTCTCATTCTGGATGTATGAGAGAAAAGGATGGTGTGTGTGTTAAAATAAACTAATAGTTAGTATTTGCCAGCAGACTCATATCGACTGCGGAATCCGGAGTCTTTTATGGTTTGAAGCAATTATTGCAGAGAGGTCTTTGGAGGTTGTTAGCGGGGAGAGCGATTGGGCGATGTACTATTAGCAATTACAATTACGGAGTGAGGGGATCATTGGATTCAAGTGGAACAGCTAACGGTATGCAGGCATTTATGTTTCATTAGCTAAATATTGGTATAAATGCCTGGTTTAAGGGGCAATTGTATCGTGTTAGGGTCGTCTCCGGAGAGGAAGGGTGGAGCGGAGCGGAGCGGAATTCCCCTCCCCCTCCCGGGGAATCCAGGCAGCCATAACTACCTTCGTCCATAAAGGAAATCGTCCTCTTTTCAGAGAGATTATGAACAAACAACATGCCGGTGATCTTCCTATTATTAAACTTCATATATGCTCTTAATTCTAATAGAAGATTTTGTCGGATTTTATCCCACCAGTGGCAACTCGAACAAGTTCATCAAGCTGCTCTGCAATCTAACACGGTCTGCTTTTTCCATAGATGTAGGGTAGTAGTATATTTACCTGTCAGTGCAAGACGGGAAGTTAAACCATATTCTATCCTTTTACATCCTATACCTCTTAAAATAGAATTTTCAGTCTATTTAATCTGTAGTTATATACAGAAGAACTAATTACATCTTATGTAGGAACTGTGATATGTGATCGACCATCATCAGGAAGGATGGTCAAACAGAAAAACAATTCCGTCGCTGTATAAGCATAATTTGCAGTACAAAAGAAGTCAAGAAAACGCAGCTAGCATCAAATGATCAAAAAAAACGTATGGGAAGAAAAATAAGGCCGCCATTAGCAAAAAATATCTAATGCGGATCAAAACACTAGACGATCTTGTACCTGAAACGTACGTCCTACGTCAATGGATCCTCTATGAATCCCTCCCCCTCACCCCTCCCCATGACACTCGCGGCGTGTGCCCTCTCCCATTCCCATTACCACTCCTTTCCCTAAAAGTTCCAGCTGCCAAACCCCTTCTGCCACCATTTCCATTCTCATTACTCTCATCCTCATTACTATCACCATCGGGTCCTGAACCAGCTGCATATGCCGGCACGGGAGCGATAATTACATCTCCAGCACCCCCTTTCTTTCTCGCTGGCCTCGTCCCATCAGCAAACTGCACCGTCCCCTTCACTTCACGCGGTTCCCCATTGTCTTCACTATCAGACTCTTGAATCACAGGATGTCGTCGACGCCTGCGACTTCGAGCACGAGGTCCACCGGACGATTCCATTTTACCATTGTCACTTTCATCACAATCGCCGTGATCCGCCAATTCGCCTAGTGCTGCTAGTCGCCGCTTGCGTTCTGCGGGCGTTTCGCCGCTATCTCGTCTGACGTGCCCCGACGATGGTTGGGGAAAGGAGAATGTCGGGAGACTTTCTACTTGGCGGAATTGCGAGGGCGGAACACGTTCTGTGCCATCGTCCTCGGAGTCGTGACGACCAAGCGTAGAGGCTATGGACGCGGAGTTGCTTAATTTACCGGCTTCTGGGGTGGATATGAGGTGTTGGCGAGGCGCTTCACCAACAATGTGGGTTGGAATGGACTGTTCTGAATGTTGACCTTGTTCCCTGCTATTCTGATAGTCGTGCGTAGGTAGTGTGGGTAGCTGTGATTCTGGGTGAGGTTGTCGTTCAGACAGACGTAAAGGTTCTTTGTGAAGAGCAGCTTTCACCTGTTCTGGCGTGGAGGAGTAATGAAGGAGTTCCGCGCGAGTCTTGGGATCGAGAGAGCGAATCTGGTTGATAAAGTTGTTCTTGCTCATTCTACGTCCCATATCAGGTCTTGCCATCAGATCGGCCCGTGTTACTGTGAATCGAAGTCGAGCGTCGTCTGAAGATTCCCTTTCAAGCTGATGTGCTTTCTTCGAATGTTCGCCACCCTCTTTACCTTCTCCAAAACCAACCCATGTTCCTACGCGTGACATCTTTCGTCGCATAGGCTCTGATTCAGGGAATGGGGTGTGTTTCATGTCGAGCGCACCACTAGCGCCCCCTTCTTCTATATCCCTAGAAGACATCTCAGGAGGAATGGTGAATTTCTTGATGACTTCACCATCCGCATCTTCAACAATTATTGTGTTTCCAAACTGATAGGCCCTTGCAGTCCGACGCCCTTCTTGTTGAGGCTTCTGAGTCGAGGGTCCAACCTTGGGAGCTTTCACTTCCCCTTGTTCAACTCCCATCCAAGCAGGTAGATGTTTTCTGATTTTCTCATAAGTACATGGCGCCTTCTCATTAACAGTAGGGCCAAGATCTTCACCTCTGGTCTTCTCATGTGAGAGATCCTGAGACTCTGGAAGCTCACCGGTTTGGTCCTTCTGAGGCAGTGTAAGCTTCTCCAGAATTTTCTCATTCTCTTTGTCAGGAGTTGTATCTCTGACATTAGCCACGTCCAAGACATTCCCTTGCTCATCTTCGATGATCACCTTTTCACCCTCACGATAAATTTCCACCTTACGTTCTCGAACCATTTGGGAACCTTCAGTTACCATCTGAGATCGTCCCCGTGGGGGTTGGTTCACATCAGTGACATCACCCAATGAAGGGCTAGAAACCTCCGGTCTTCTCTGCGGGGTAATTGCAGACTGGCTAATAGGTCCACCAGCACCCATCCTCCGTCTCCTCGAGGGCTTACGACTTGATGCGCGACTATTTGGCTCGCTTTCTGCATCATCTCTCTGACGTCGCAGCATGTTACCTGGAAACCCAACAGGGCCGAGCGTGCCGGGCGAAAACTCTGGGAGTCTCTCATTCGCATCTGACTCCATCGAATCTTTTCGCAATGACAATGATGCTTTGGATTGCGATTGAATGCGAGGAAGCCTGTTCATCCATGAAGGCCCGTCATCGTTGGCTTGTGTATAGGACATGGTAATTGTCAATGTATTAATGTGTTTTCCAAGAGTAAATACGGCAATCGAAGATCCGTGGACGATAATAGACGAGATGACCATGAATGTGGTAATAGGCCAAATGAGAGCGACGATTGTGTAGTTGTGTTCGCCTAGTTTTGGCAACACAGCGAGAGGTTGAGTCGTTCCATGTTCCAACTCTGCTCTGGTCAGGATAGCAGCAAAAATAGCCCCAACACCAATTGGACCAAAGTGGCCAGCAAACAGTGCTTCTCGCCATGATTTAATATCAGATATGAAAGGTTTCAGCAGTAACATAATGGGAATCCGTCGGAAAAGGATCACAAAAATGGCAATAACAACCAACCTCCAAGGCACCAGACCAAGCTCTGGCTCATTGAACTGCTCCCATGGTATAATTGCTCCGAAATAGACAAAATATGCTAAATTGAGCAGTAAATCAATAACGTTGGAAACATGGGATGCTTCCGTCTTTTCCGTAAACCACCCATCGTTGCTAAAGCCCACTCCAGCAGCGAAACCAATAAGCAAATCATCCATCCCTAGCAAACTACCAGAGCCCGCGCAAAACAGAGCTAACACAAAGTAAAACACAAGGAAACTCTCTCGATCAATGAGAGTTTTCCGTTCCGCAAATTTGATGGCATGGCGGCCAATATACCCGATCATGAAACCGAAAAAGGCACCGAAAATACACTCGTAGAGGATAGTAAAGCAGATCCAATGGTAGGCTACTGCCTTAGAATCTGGCCTGTACTCAATAATGTAGACAGCAAGGTAGATGAACGGAAACGCCATGCCGTCGTTACAACCAGACTCTGCGGAAAGCAGGTCTCGAAGATGTTTGGGAACACGTTTTGCAAATTTACCCTTACCAACAACGGATGAAGCCAGAACAGGATCAGTAGCAGTAACGCACGCAGCGCAGGCAAGGCTTTCCAGCCACGTCAATGGAGGCACCATCCACCAGATAAAAAGGCTGGTCATGAGCCAGCCCCAGGTCATGACGGGCAGCAGGAGTAAAACAACCGACTTCCAATGTCTTTCCATGTAGGATTTGGGCAATTCGACACCCACGGCAAAACACTGCACAACAAGGACAATGCGCGAACATTCTAATGTCAGCTTATCAACATTTCCCCATGAGATAGGATCGAAGAGGCCTGCAGCATGGGGACCGAAAATGACACCACATAGTGTAGCTACTGTTGCTTCACCGATATAGAGTCTCTCCTTGACGAAGAGCGAGCACAACATGAACAGGCTCGTGAACCCACCCAAAATCATGTAGGCCACGTGTGGCTTATCGATAGCGAGATGATCCCACGCCATAGCTGCAGGGACGATCTTTACTGGGTTGGGACGAGGGGCAACTTGGCGGAGGGAAAATGGATGATGTCAATCCCCTTCGCCTGTGAGCTTGAAAAGGCAAGGAAGTGTTGTATTGTCGTGTCGAGCAGGAATAGCTGATTTTTCTCAGCTGTTTCCTTTCCTCTTCCTCCCTCTTCCTGCTTTATTCTCCGACCTTTTATGTCTTGGGCATCAATAAAATTTCTTTTATTTCTTTTCTTTTTTGTTTCAGCAACCAGAACGCCTTAAACCGCCGCCAGCCAACCACAATCCCGATAGATTATCGCAGCAGGGCACAGACACAAACGTCCCGAATATTCTCGCCAAAGAATCCCTCTTCAGTCAACCTGCCAAGCAACTTTCTGACATGCTCCTGCGAGGAATTCCCGCTCACAAAAAATAGTGGTGAGCGTGGGTATTCGCCTCCGATAAGGTTTGGAAACAGAGAGGAAAGTCATTGATTCTCTCCAGTGGCGCTGCGATATCCGGATAGAAGAACTTGAGGATAAGGGAACCAAAAGGCGATGGGATCTGGGTAGCTAATTTTTTCAGCGCACAGGAAGGCCAAGGGTCAGTTAAGACCTAAACCAGCAGGGTATTGAACTGTCAGCAAAGGGTGAATTTTCTCTTATCCACACCCAAGGTGGACTGGTAAAAGAGCCCGATTTTCCGTTGAAACCTTGAGAAATTAGAAAGAGAGAATGAATTTCAAATGTCCAGGAAACGAGTTTTCCAAGGTTTATCGGAGGTGTAGCGAAAGAGCCTCAGCCTAGCGAAACAACGCCGTTGCTGGCATTTAGGAAATATTAGACTATTAGTGCCAGTAGCACCGGTGACGAGCAGTCCCAGACGAGATTTCTAGCGTGTTGGAAGCTGCTGAGCCCAAGTTTAGCTCGTTCGGTGTCATGATTATGGGGGGCTATCATCCCAGGCGGTTCTTCTTGGCTAGTTAACGCCAGCACCAAGGTAGTCTCAACTGAGGGAGCTGGTATTGGCTTCAGAAACGCGATTGCTTGTCAATTGTCACAAGAGATATACGGTCAGGTACTCCATATACCAGTGTCAAGGCGCAGAGAGAACAGACTATCTGCTTATCAAACTGGGACTCTGAGTGGTGAGGAGCTGAGAGTGAGGGGAGATGTTTTTAAGTGTGTGTTTTCTCTGTGAGAAAAAGACGATCATTTAGTTAGTTACTAATTTATAAGCGAGCGGGGGCCACCTGTCTACCTGTGTGCAGTGAGAGTGCTGCCTTCAAGCCTCAACTATCAAGAAATTTTGATCAATTGCTTTATAAATTATTTCCCAAAAAGCTGAAAGCATGTACATGTGAGAAGTATGTTTTATAACCCCACGTACGCTAACTAGTTACACTGTGGCGCTACATGTTGTGTAAGCGGAGACTCAGTTAACGTAGTTATTTTGGATCAACCCCCCACCAATCCAAATCCATTCATATATTCACCAAATCATTAAATATGCCCACCAAATCAAAAGATCAAGCTTCTAATCAAGAAGGAAGGCATCTCTTAGCCATTGAGGCCTATAAAACAGATCAAATTTCATATATTACACTGCTGCCAACACGTACGATGTTCCACCCTCGACCTTACGCGATCGAATCAAGGAGTCAAAACGCGTTCAAATGCTCAACTTTCTAACCGAGTTGAATCTGCTGTGGGAGAAAAATGGGTTCAAAGATTCATTACACGTCATAAGAAACTAAAGACTAGATTCTCACACAAATACAACTACGAGCGAGCTTTATGTGAAGATCCTAAGATCGTACGAGAGTGGTTTCAACGGGTGAAGAATACGATATGGCATTGTGGATGAGGATATCTACAGCTTTGATGAGACTGGCTTTCAAATGGGAGTTATATCAACAGTCAAGGTGGTGACTGAGTCTGGGAAACATGGCAGGCCAGTGCTTTTACAGCCAGGAAATTGTGAATGGGTGACTGCTATTGAGGAAGTCAACTCAACTGGCTAAGAGATGCCAGCTGATCATACACAGTGCTGCTATCTTAACCAAGGAATATAAGAAGCTAAGAGCTGCAGTTGAGAAGAAAAAGCGCAAGAAGCAAGAAGCTCATACTTACATTTATATAGCTCAGAATGGAGCTTTAACAGCTGAGGAAGAAATAGCTAGTGCTCAAGCCATTGATCAACCCGTACAAAGGGGGTTAGAGGAGTTGAACCAGCCGCCTAGAGAGCGAGCTCCGCCACGCTGCAACAAGTGTAATAATATAGAAGGTGGTCCATTACGTTAGTTACTAAAAATATTTTATTTTTATTCAAACACATTAACATTTTGTTATATTTATATTTATATTTATATAGAATATGAGTAGAGACTTTCTATAAATAGCCACCCAACTCATGATTCTGAGAATCAGTGATGTACAGTGGAACTGAGTTACTGAAATATATCTCTTAAATCTTAATACATTTATAAAAGCATCTTTGATTAAGATAGATATTATCTTCTGGCGTAGCCATATTGCTCATTTAACAAATTAGTCAAGCTCACTCACACAGTTCACAACAGGTTTGCACTTATGTGCACCAATGCACCAAACTCCACATCCAAATCTCCTGCTACACCAAGCAAAGGTTAGCTCCCACTCTGATTGGTGCAGTGAGCTTGAATTTTTGGGGATGGGAAACTGCTGACATTGATTATGGAGAACGGAACAGGGAATGCTAGGGTTTTTATTTTTATTTTTTTTTATTTTTTTTATTTTTCGACGTATGGATCGGCTTTCAGAAGAAATATCCAGATCAAAAGTTTCCCCTATCTGGGCCACCAAGCTAGCTGTATGTTTTCTTGCCGAATACTATGTCAAGATATATAGCTACAAGAGGCAGATGAGAACTGAAAAGTCTCAAGGGATTTCGACATTTATATGCACAGATAATATGAAGTGCAGATATTAAAAAAAAATGTGGAATCGTATCTGAAACCATCCAAAGGAAATGGAAATAGTCGGTTGGCGGGGGGGTATAAAATTTATAATTGAAATCAAAAATCAAGATCAAACTCCTGCGGGTCACAACAATCAGAGATGGAGAAACAAACTACATCAAAAGATAACCACTATCCAAGCAATCATTACAGGTTTCATCATTCAGGAACATTCAACTTCAGGGAGAGGGTGCTCTGGGGTTGAACAAATATGAGACTAGAGGAACAAGGAATTTGTAAGGACAAAGAAGCAGCTCAATGAAGAGAAAAAGATAAAAGACAGGAGAAGAACGAACATCAGTTTGAAAGAAACATTATATGAATGTGAGGGGAAAATTTGGAACGCTTCCTATATCCATATCCACATGCATATTCTTAACCATATACTTTATCAATCCAACAAAACCTGATCCAACACAGGGTTACGTTTCGCTGTTTCGTTGTCCATTTTACAAGCCTTTCTAATCAGAAGTAGGCATCGCCTCGACTTCCACGCCCAGAGAACGCCAGTTGTCTGCCTGTAGCTCTGCATACTTCACTCTCTCCTGACTCCAATCCTGATGCAGTCGACTAACATGGTATTGGCTCATCTGGAAGTACTGCAGCTCATCACGGATACATTCCTTAATGAATACACCCCTGGCGTGTTGTTGAACGATAGATTTCTTGTCCTGCAGGAAAGAAATAATTCATATTAGTTAACAGAATAAGTTCCTCCTAGTCGATAGGGAATGAGTGAGGGAATGAATTGGGCAACTCCAGCCAGCATTTCCAACCTTGATAATTGAATCTTCCACCTTCTCGACCTCCCCCGGCTTAACCGTCCCTTCAGGCCTACTTCGCAAATTCTGTAACTTCCTCTCATTACTCTCAATCCGCCGCTCGAGTTGTGGAATATTGTCCTTGGCATAGCGGTCCCTTCGATCAAAGAGGTCGCGCATAGCCACGTAGCAATCTCGTTGCATTTTGAAATCTTCCAGGACCCCATCGTTCCACGCCCGAGCCTCATCATCCAGCAATCCCTGGCTGGCGATAAGGTGCTTAGCGGTGGAGTTTATGCCGTTGTTTAACAGTGGCACATAGTTTGTGTCAACTGCATAGGTGTCCGATGTACAATCGGTTAGAGCTTGCAGGGCCCTGGACAATCGGAACTGGTCCGCGGCAAGGCCTTGAGTGCGTTTGACAAGACGGTCAATCAAATTACAGAGGTTGATGTAAATTTCAGCTGAACGCTTGATACCGAAGTGAACTCTATCGAAAGTTCCGTCCAAGGTCTGAGGGAGGGAGTCTTCGAGGTCTGGAGGAAGTAATTTTCCAGTAAATTCTTCCTGGACGGAAATGGTAGCCTGTTTTCGCCAGACAGATAACTCCTAATTTCATTTTAGTATAAGCACTAACATGAAGGCAGAGGGCATGAACGTATTGTTTTCATTTTGCGATACATACAGTCGGAACGGTCAGAAACATCACTACCAGCTGTTCCTGGGTCAATACCGGATGGCGAACAAGGGAATTTGCGAATCGAACTAAACCCTTCCGTCTCTTGTCGAGAAAGGAGTTTGAATCCGCTGCGAGGTGAGTGCCATTGACTTTGTTAAAACCATTTTGTGAGTATATTATAAGCTTGAAGTCAAGCTTTCAACGTACCTGCGACTCGCTTTGGAGGGAGTAGTGGTATCTGGCGGAACGGATACCTTTTTTGCAGACAGTCCACCAACCATACGAAATCGCTATATCTCCGGATTACAGAGCTTCCTCTCCGCGAAGATTTGACCTCGTAGTTTCGGTGTTGGAATAGGAACATGCCCTCCTTTTCAGGCAACATGTTGATTGTTATCACTTCGTCCACCCCTGGCGAGGTTACCCTACCGCCGCCAATGGATCTAGGTACATTATTATTGGAATTAGGATTTCTTTGGTCGTCCCCTGACTGGCCAAATCCGGCACCCATCCCTGAATGTCCCGCCCCTCCGAATCCGGCACCGGATGGGTTGGAAAGGCCTTCCACCCAGCCAGATTCGACACTCCCTGAAGTATTTTCGCTGGGTTGTTCGGAATGCTCGCCCCCATTCTGCGAGTTGGGTTGACCACTGTACCCACCTGAAGTTTTCTGAGTACAACCATTCGCTGGGGGATGTGCGGCCGCGTCAAATTCATTAACTCCAGCATTAGGTCCAGTATCATTTTCAATGGAATGATTGTGGCCACGATGGAGTCCCGGGCTTCCCCAGGGATCGGAATCCCCAAGGGATTCCTGTGTCATCCGTCGCGGAGGAGATCTCTTTGGGGTATGTGGTTCGTTGGTGGTTTGTCCAATTCCACCGCCGTTTCGGGATCTCAATTCGTCGACATAAGGTATGTTAGGTCGCGGGAGTTCTAAAATTTAGGCATCAAATGTATCGGCATAAATTCCCTCGAAACCGCAAGTAGTCAAAATACCGCAATTACTAAGGAAACGGAAGCTAACACTTACTCTTCCGTCTCTCGTCAATGGTATCGAACGTAAGATCTTCACCCTCCTGAGCCAAACCTATCAGAGCAAGCAAAACATTGAATTCACCTCTCCCCAATCCATTTGGGGGATCGCGGCCACCAGGAACCACCATATTAAGAATCGTAGCCTGTTCCTCGGAGCTCAAGCTGGAATCTCGCAGGACTTTCCTTGCTCCTTCAACAGCGATGCCAGCACCAAACTTATCTCCCGAGTCTAACACAGCATCATAGGCATCAATGTAGCTTTCTGGAACCTCTGAGGCCGGTAGTAGCATCTTCACAAGCTCGTGGCGCGCAGCCCTTTTCGGGTTAGTCGAGTTCCATGGCGAGGAAACTCCAGGGGTATCGTCCGCGAAAATGGAGGACGTTGAGGGTTGACCAAAGGCCGGCTGATCAGAAAACAAAGACGACTTGGGTTGTGAAGCTGCATCGATCTTGGCCGCAGGATTATCATCGGGAGAAGTGCCGAATAGAGACATGGTGAGGTGTGGAGAGATGACAGTGATTGTTTATTTTGGGGGGAGGGGGGGGGGTTGTTTGTTCGGGCTTTGATTTACTGCTTCTCAGGCCACACTGGGGTGGTAGAGCTACGCTAGGGCAGCGGGGAGAAGGACAAGTGTATGTATACTCACTACTAGCCCAGTAGCAATGAAGAATAGTGAAAGCTTCAAGCGGGCATTTGCTGATGATGCAAAGGCTGAGTATATCCCTAGGAACCGCGCAATTGGAGAACGGGCGGCTCGGCACTAGTGGGATTCGGCGGCAGGGCTAAGCGCCGTCACGGGATTTGGCAGGTTCTGCTGAAGTTCATTCCCCCTCAATTAACCATGACGAGCAGTTTATAGAGGTAGGATATATACATTAGTTATATACAATACCCTTCTGCAGTCTTCTCAACAAGGGCAAGTGTTGACGTACAGAATAATCACGTGTTGCTTAACTACGTCATTTTGCAGCATAACCACTGAACCCCGGCTCGAACCACCGACATATACTACATAGTTATGTGACTTTCCACGCTCAGTGAAACCCAAAGATTACTCGTAAAGAACAGACCGATGATGCGTATGATAAAACTTAGTTCCATTAAACGGGTTTACCTTTACTACAACACATCGGGAATATATATATATTCTCACATTGATTGAGAAGCGCGAAAAAAAGTTTTTGGACAAATGGCCAAAAGGTTCTATCTACAGAGCAAAACCATAGCGTCACTTTTATCCCACGAACGTACAACGCCGATGTAAATGACGTAAGTTTATATAGTCCAATGTCTTTAAATCATATTCCTTCCTCACTGGAGCTCCCACATTCGTCCTCATCCACAGATCCTTTCCCAGTGCTATCACCCCCGACTCCTCTTTCCCCACCCAACCTCTGGAGCTCTTGTCCCAGCACATCTTGCCATCCAGCACCGCCTGTAGCCAGCACGCTCTTGGGATTGAATTTCCCTGAAAACCACCTCTCCTTGCGTATGCTTGCTTTATCCCCACCTTCAAGTGCCGCTCGACTTGCCCTCGTAGTCCGATATCGCTTGTTCCCAACTGAGTCTTGAGAAATGAGCCCGCTAAGAGCTAGCCGTTGTTGTTCAAGACGCAAATCACAGGCGACGATGGTTCGGATATACGGTGCGAGGTCTTCGGAAATTGGAGCTATGCAGTTGTCAAATGAAAATGATTGACGACCAGATGACTGGTTGAAGGGGTCTGGATTAACGGTTATTGGTTCCAAGATATCACGTAATTCGAATCGATTGAAGTATACAAGTTTTTCGGGGGAGAATTTCTCCAGAGCTTGTTGGATGACGGCTTCTTCGTCTGTGGAGGATGATTTATTAAAGCAGGTTTCCAGCAAAACGCTTATTGAGACACCAATCTTCGTTGGTAGACGTGCGTAGTCGATTAGAGGGTCAGTTTGTAATAATTGGTAGCCTTCCGTATACGTGGAGCGCTGTTTCCCGGTCATTTCAGGCCAAGAAGGGTCAAAAACATCCTGTGTAAGTCGTTAGCATTGTTGTATTTATATGTTCGACAATGATAACATACTTGTGTCAGCTCCTCAGGAGAACACCGGCAAATAATATCCAAGTTACCCTTCATATCAGCCTCTTCACTTTCCTGAGCCAGCGCTTCCAGAAGACTCTGACCGTCATGACCCAATGACACGTCTCGCAATATTTTCGATTCATGCCAGTCCATAAGACCCATATGCCACTGTTCCAAACACTCGAGCATAAGCTGACTCCTTCTTTCATAAGAATCAACTTCATCACACGCGATGTCATGACCGACCAAACCCATACCGTGAACATACGTGTCCGTGCTTACGACTTTTGGAAAATCGGCTTCCTTCTCATGTTCATCACGTAAAAGGGGTCGCTTAGCCAACCAGTCTAATCCTGCCTTCTTGCTCCCAACAGCCATCTGGCACCAGAAATCCATCTGCATGATCGTCGCGCGAAGATCCCGACGCATGACAGTATACAGTTCCGATAATCGTTCTCGGTCCAGAATATGTCCTTCGTTGGCCGCCAGGAGGAAAAGGTAATCAGCAGCAAGGTCGCATGGACTCTGGCGAAATCGAAGAATCGCGTGAAGTTTCAGCTGTTCAAGGGGAAGAAGACGTTCATCATTACAGGTCATAATAATCGGTCTCTTTGACTGGCTAATTAGTGCTAAAACACCGCTCCAGAATTGCTTGTCTTCTTCGAAGAGGACGTCAACTTCCTCGAGGAGTATGAGGGACTGTTTCTGGCTTGGTTGGGATTTGAGCACTGATTCGCTTCCACACAGGGAAGTACCGGCAGCGGCGTGTGTTCTCTTTTTGTCTACAGGATTCGTTCTTGACTTAAAAAAGCCTTCCATATTGCCTGGCATTTCGTTCTCATTACTGGTGGTGGAAAACATTGACTTTAGTGAAGAAGTAGCTGGAGAATTTTTGTTAACCTGCCCAGGAAGCTGAACAAGATGATTCTGGGTCATGTCTCCAACACGCTCGACGACATCTTTTGCGTTTCTGCGGCTTCCGGCATTTATCTCAAAAATCTCAAATCCAAGCTCTTTGGCCACAGCGTACACAGCAGCGGTTTTGCCGCAACCAGAGGGTCCACTGATAAGTATCGAATTAGCTACTGACCGCTTTTCTGGTGCAGATTTGCTGTCTGTAGTCAGAGTGTCCGATCGAACAACAGTTCTTTTACTAGATATAGTAACTCCACCAGCCAACTCATCCTCGTGGTCAGGAGCATCAATTTCATCCATTTGAGACTCATCATCACTAGAAACAATAAACTTATCAAGATCTCTCGGCCTTTTTCGTTTCTTCTTCCTCTTTGTACTTTCATCCGGTGTCTGCTTCGACTGCTTTCCATCACTCCCACCAGTGCCAGTGTGCACTGTCGAAACGATGAGATTTTGCAGCCACTTTCTTAGAAGTAGAGCTTCAGTGCCAAGCTGAAGCACGGAGCCCGCACCATTTGGAGCATACTTGTGAGTCCATGGGATGTCATCGAACTCACCCCGATCGAAAGCAGTGGTTGATGATCGTATAGAGGTAAGTAGTTGGGCCACTGCAGGGTGGGATGTGTACGGCGATCTGGCTCGCCGACAAGGAAAATTTTCACCAATAGTTTGCGCAGTCGCAAGAGATAAACCAAATCGATTCATTACCGTTTCGAAGAGGCTGCCGCGACTACAAGTTCTTTTGCCTGGGTGTCTCAATATTTTCTTCATTAAAAGGCGCCTCGTGGCCTGTAGCATTAATCGTGATTGAACTGAAAGAATGTTTTCACATTCAGGTATGGTGGTAGGTAAGCCTTTGGCTTTTCTTTCTTCAAAATCCAGGAACGAACCAATGGTCTTGTTGCTCGATGGAAGCCCACGGATATGGACAGCTTCACGCGGTGGCCAAATAGGATCTATAGGATCCGAATATTTTGGATGGTGCGAACGCACTCCAGACGTTACGGTTTGTGAATTATCCATTCGGTAGGGTTGATTTGCAATAGCTGGTTGAACTTCTCGACCCCCTCTAGGATGTATTGGAAACGGAGACTCTCTTCGCACACCTTTTTCTTCGGATTTCTGAGTGGACTTACTCATGAAAAAAGGGTGAGTCGGTTTTGTAGGTCGTGGGGGAGGAGGGTTAGGGATTGCAATGGCCGGCGCCTCCTTCACAACAGGATATCGTTTTTGACCACAAATGATTTCATTTATTAACTGGCCCAGAGGGGGCCGTGACTCCTTCTTGGCTCCGTATTTCAAAACTACTACGAGAGATTGCCCTTCATCTCGTTTGAGTAGCGCTGATTTCCTTTTGCTGGGTTCTTCTGGACCTGGACCTTCATTTTTTGGTCGATCGGGAGAGCTCAACAATTTGCCGTTTGGGTTTAATTTTAAGGTTTTGACTGGAGGACCATCGGATCTCGTGTTAGTCGCGACAGGTTTTAGGTGTGGCTGGGATGATTCTGGTAAAGATGAAGAAACAAAATTCTGCGAATCCTTTTGAACTAAACACTTTTGCTCTGGTATGTCAGGCTCGTTGCGAGCTGAACTCTCGAACTGTACGCCCAAAGCGGGGATGGGATTATCCTTGATGAGGAGTCGTCGTAGTGGGCCAATGGCTGTCACCTGTCCAGCAGAATCTTGTGTCCCCGTTTTTCGTCTTTTTTTCTGACTGGAATTTGCATCCCCTTCCTTTGACAACGAAGTCTCAAGTTTCCGCAGTTTGTGTTCGGGGTGGAGTTGCAATGCTGCATCCCGTTTCTTGTTGCTACAAGATAGAACTCGTCCACCATTTTGATTGGGGCTATCAGAACCAGATGTAGGATTCACAGATATGTTAGCAATATAGTCTTTAGCTGTCGCTGCATCTATGGGCCCTTCGGGTTGTAAAGGTTGAGGTGCGGACGAAATGAGGTTGTTGTCGGTCGGGCCTTCGCAGATGTCAGTAAGTGCTTCATCTTCAAGTCCGCAAAACCTACCAACCTTTCCCAAAGAACGGGTGCAAGGTCCGCTGGTCATGCTGTCCCATGACCGTTTCCAGAGCAATATCAGCCATTCAATTTCCTTGACCGTTCACGCATTATGGAGGATGTAACCATCAAGAGAGGGAGGGGCGAATGGGTTTGACAAATTTATATATCTTGGGGAGAGAGCATAGATTTGGTATAAGACAAATGGTAGAATCAAGGCCTGAAAAACAAAAGTGCAAAACAAATTGGGGACACTCGGCCGTTAAAGATAGATATAGAGAGCTGGTTGATGTTGAGGTTGTTGAAGAGTCATTGTGAGAATCTTTCGATCGTCGCGTGCAAGCCAAACCCATGGAAAATGACGCGTTTGCCAATGACGTCTGTATTCGGCTAGCACGTAATTACTACGGGAAAATATTACTCCGGTAGACGCCCGAAGCGCCAAACTCTAAAAAGTCAAGAGGTTGCATGATATTTTCGGCGTTGAGAGACAACATCATATCATATCTGAACAGGCCCAGTTGCGTTTCTGCCCAGAACGTGACTTATTTTTTGAGGGCAAGATGGAGCTACATGCGCCGTCTGTCCTGGCCCAATTACCACTCCCATTGGAGACTTCGGCTGGTAAATGCCAATTGGGTGAGGTTTATGGAGTGGACGGTTCCAAGAAAAGGAAACGACATGAGGTTACGGCCGCTATTGACGGGGAGAGTGTGATCATCTACAATGTATGAGCCACAATTCTGCCCATTTTATCTTTCCTGATACCATCTCTGACCGTTTTGCGCAGGTTCAATTTCCGAAACTAGTCACCTCCTACGCAATCCCGCCGCAATCATCGTTCTCGTGTCCACCGTTGTCTGTGCGGCAAAAATCAACTCAGAAATACGCAGCCGCAAGAAGACGTACTTATTGTGCTATAGAACAACCGGAGAACCAAATCCAGTGCTTCTTGGACGAGTCTACTACCGGCACCCACAATACACTCAACATTTCCAGCTCATCCTTCAAGCTGAAAGAATCCCGAAGCCCTGTCGTCTTTCTTAATATCATACCTGCGGTTTCGGAAGCAGGGAAACAGCAGGACCCCTTCGATATTCTTTTAGTACATAGAGATGGACGAGTGCGCAGGCTATCTCCGGACCTCCAGACTCAGAAGTGGAATGTCTTGCCAGACCTTGCGATTGAGCAGCCTGCCATGTATGAAATCCAAACTGGCTTTCTTGTTAGTTTCGAAGATGTTCGTAAATCTCTGTTTAAGGAAAGACAGGACATAGTAGCAACAGTGCTAGGGGATGAGATTGGGACAGAGTCAGCCGCCTCATCTGTGCTAGTGCTTGTTTCCAGGCCAAGTGGCCAAGAGAAATTACTTCCCAGTGACATCAAAGTCGTCGTGTTTTGTATACCAACTCGCGCTGCTGAAAACGATTTCTCGATAAACCAGTCAAAACGATTACGGCATCTCATGACTATTAGCCTTCCGGATTTGGAAGACCACAAGCTGTCTTTTGGAACACAGTCCCACCAATGGAACTTTTACCCTGCCAGCAGTAGTCTCTCATTGACTTTTGCAAACGGGTTCATTAATTATGATATATCGCAATACTCACCAGATATATCATCTCATATGATTCTTCCCGAAGAACATTTCTCTTCCATCATGCGAATATCCCCGCAGTCTGTCATTGGCGCCCGTAAATCGTCTGTCGCTATTTATAACCCTCGATATCAATCGATTCAAGGAGATCTTTCGTTAGATGATATTTCTCCTGTAGGAACGACAAAACCAGATGCTGATAAGGGGGACCCGATCGTGTTTATTTCATACTTCGCGAAACTTGGAATTGCCGTTGCAACACGCGGGGAGACACTTCTAGGATTTGACCTAGCGTCATCCCATGATGTGTCTCTAAATCAGGCCAGCGACGGTCTTTTGATAAATGCAATTGGGAAAGGAATCCAATCACCAGAATATACCGCGCGGATAGCAATGGACAAACCAGTGGACAACATGCAGCAGGTGGGACTTTCAGAGCCGCATGAAGTTGCACAGTGGGCTGCATTAAACGAGAAACTTGATACGCTGGTGAAAGATAAAGACCCTGGAAAGTTTGACAGAACTATACAAGAGGCATTAAGTAAGATGTCAACAGCAGGAGGAGATGGAAAATCTAGACATTTACGGGGATCAACGGTACTTGTGGAACCGGAAAAGATATATTTCCTTCTCGGAAAGATATTTTCTTTGAGGACAACAACCACTGAGCCAAAGGCATCGAAGCTGGTCGTCTCCTTCCTGCCACCTAAAACATTTAAGTGGCTTATAAGCTCTCATCACCTCAGTCTGAGCAACATTCAAGCTGCTCTTCGCCATTCGATGCACCCGAAAATACCACCTCCAATACCCAGTGGCTCATTAGTTCGAGCGCTCTCTGAACATTCACTCCAGTTATTACTTCAGGTATTACGAGGCCCAATAAATCTTGAAGCAGTTGAACTCACCCATGCACTGAAAATCCTGCTGGACGTCGCCCGCTCCCGTCAACAGAGACCAGAAGAGGAACTACCTAAAACCATCACCGAATCTCCACACCCAACCAAAGAAAGCATCGCGCAAGAGATAACACAAGGACACCATAACACATCCTCCAATACCAGCAACGGCCCCGACACCATCACAGATGCCATCACCGGCCTCAACTTAACTCTCACAAAGCTCCACTTCCACCCGTTCGACAAAGTAACGCAATCTATCCGCTCCGTTCTCTCCAACTCTGACACACTCTCCATCATCCACCATCTTCGTCACTCCCTCGCTACCGGCGGCTACACCTCACCATTCGTGGAACAATCGACGACTCCCCTTCCCGCTGACCCTAAAACCCCCACCCTCGACCTGTCAACTATGGTTGATCTGCTAACCTCCTGCATCGACGCCATCGGCCCCAGCGGCTGGATCTCGGCCGCCGCTTTCGCTGGCGGAGAAGATAGCGAAGCATGCCTAATTGCAGACATGAAGTCCGAGATCTCAGCTGCATTGGTTGGTGTCGAGGAGGCGACGTATCTGAAGGGAATATTGCGGGAATTCATCAGATATGCTGAAACAGCCATTGCTACCAATGCTAATAATAGCAATGCCTACCACCGCAGCCGGAACAGCAAACATAGTCCAGTCCAAGGTGCTACATTAGGAGGGCCTCCTGGCAGTCGCCTAAAGCGCAAGGAACGCCATAACGGTGCTGACATTCTCATATATGACACGGAGAACATCAATGGTATAAACGGTGCACTCAATAGCGACAAACAAATGCTTCCTCTTTCTCTTAAGCGAGTGGCAATTGGTGGAGAAATGAATCAAGATGTCGGTGGCGCTGCGGCTAATGGTGTTAAGGTTGGTGAAGAAGTGAGCAGGAGTAAGATCCGGAGGACGACAGGTGAGGTTGTGCAGAGGAGTGAACGAGAACTAGGGTATTTGAGGCGAAAGGCGGTGGGGAAGTATTCATTTGAGAAGATTGTCATATAGTTGCTAGGTGAGTAGGCATAGCTGCAAGTTATTCGGGAAGCTAGAGGTTAGATAAACGAGATTTGATTTGATCAAGAAAAATACTCAGCGGATCAATCAACACTCAAGTCCCGTGTTTTATTTCTGGTTATTGTTGGCAGATACATTTATCTATGTACGCATAGACTGAATATCAATGGCATGTTGTTCTCAATGATTTTTGGAGTTTCGATTTTTAAATTCTCCTTGCTCTTGATCTTTTACACAATCATGCGCCTTGATTCGATTCCCACACACACATAATGAACTGGCTGATTCAGGGTGGGCACCACCAGAATTTTGCTTCCGCTTTCTTCTCTAAGCAATTCTTAGCCGTTATTTACTGTTCATTTCGTACTGCGAGAGTGCATATTTCGTTTTGTTAATATCCAACCATATCCCTCCCAATTTATTTAAAGACGAGAGGAAATGCACAACAATAGCTCAGCATAATTTGAATTTCCTGAAAATGTCTTGGACAGGGGTATATGAGGCTTTAGCCTGATACAGAAACTCGAGAAACTTCGTACATGTTCTGAGGAATGGCCGTGGTCATCTCCTGCACGGCCCGGAAAGGGGTAAAGGACATTAACTTGCATGTATATCAGCTGGGAAAAACAGTCACATAGCTCATAAGGATGGCAAGAAGAAACTAAATCAAAATAGTCTAAAGCTTAGAAGTGGCAAGCTGAGGATGAAATCAGCTCAACAGCCCCAGCAGACGAGGTAGCGATTGCGTTAAGTTGAACTGGATGAACGACTGAATGATGTGCAGTTGCTTTGCATGCAAAGTCCAATCCCCATAGCATAAATCTCAAAAAGGCCATCGAATATAGAAAGGATTTTTTGTTTATTAACAGCAGAACATAAAGCACCATCACATTGAACAATAGGGTAATTCCCAAAAAAAAAAGAAAAGAAAAGAAAAAGAAAAGAAAAATCAGAAAAATCGTCAAGGCAGAAAGGGGAAATTTGGGAAACAGAAAAAGAACGAAACAAACCAAGAAATTCATGAATTCAGGGCATTGAAACACCGAGTCTTCCCGTAGACAAAGTATGCAATCATAAGGGCTCTCATCTGACAGTGTTGGGGACGGAAAAATAAAAAATTAAGCAAGTAAAACCTGAGTGGTGGGTTGGAAGTAACATGCAAATAAAACCGGTAAAAGACTGTAGGGGCATCAACATAACATATAGAGGCAACAGGGAGGGGAATTTTGTAAAAAATTAGAAGGCGAAAAGAAAGAAAAACTGGTACCCGGTGGAAGCTATGCTTCACTTGGGCGAAGAGTGAAAATTTCCGCAAAACCAGACATCTACCCCATCAAACATTCGATCTTGTAGGACCCCAATAATTCTGTGTATCAACATAAGGGTATATATACAAAAAATACCAAGCTTCGTGCATGCAGATAGACAAAGTAATGAATGAACTGTCGTTGAATGAAAGCCCAACCTTGTCCTGATAATATGTAATATCGTTTGTTTTGTTTCTAATCTCCCCACCATGACGAATAAGACCGAACCATGAACCTGAACATGATAAGACATAACTTTCGTGATCGTTAAGCTGAAGGGCAGAGAAAAATTGTTTCATGATGTAGTAATTTGAAATCGAGTTTTTCGAGGTAATTTAGTGGGCAACCAGTAGAGTACAGGGGATCCTGCAGGTCAAAATCACTTGTTGTGTTTGGTATATGTTGGGTTAAAAGGTTTCGCGAGCCAATGGGGGGGATTATATGTTGAAATATCCCCAATCCATACTCCAAAATAGTCGTTGACGGAACTATAGATCATCAGGAATCCAGTGCACAGGAAGGTATCTATACGTAGCACCAGCCGTCTCTTGGTTTATCTAGTAATGACCGAATTTTGCACCCGTTCCCTCATCCGGACCCCTTGGGCCTCGAGTGACCGAGCCATAACTTTGGTAACTATGCCAAACCAAAAAAGTGAGTAAAAAGTTTCAGTTGAGTAAGAAAGAGAGAAAAAAGCAAACAAAAACTACGACAAGAAATTTAAAATACACGGTAAAAATATAGTAAAAGCATTACTCACTAGGCCAAACAGCAGCCCGATCCAAAAGATAGGCAGTCGAGAACAAGATCTTCGTCCCAAAACCACCACTGACCAAACTTGGAAGACGACTTGATGGCTCGTTGCCAGAATTACCAGGATGATGCGAAGCATCCTTCATCTTCGCTTCAACATTGTTAAGTATCTCCTGTATCTTTTGGATCAACTTGTAATCCTCGTCTTCCAAAAGCATTATTCCAGGAACCTGGGTCAAATCTATCGCATCCTGTCCCAGGATTCCTAGGTATGGACCAACCCGCTCCTGAATTGTAGTGACCCATTCAGCCAAGACTTGGGCACAATCAAAAGCACACATGGCGCTTTGGATGGGAAGTTCCCGCGACGTGAACTCAGCGTATGTATTGCCCAGCTTGTCCGACATCGAGAAAGAATCTGCAGCGTAGAAGGCTGCTTTTCGAAGATGTCGTTCGCGTCGCGTTGCTGCAATCTGCCGCTGTGAAAGATTATTTTGCATACTGTGCTCCTGATTCGGATTACCAGTGAGTGTCACATCGCCTACACCATACTCAGCAATCGAAACTCGTCTGCCTGTGGGTTGGTTTCCCACGGCAAGCTGATCCGAGGAACGGTAGTCAGAACTAGAAGACCCAGACTCTTTCATATGTGGAATGATTTCCACTCCTCGTGCGAGTTCATCTGCCATACCATTCCAGTCTCTTTGCCAAAAAGCTTCTTTCGAACGACCCAAGTTCACGAACAATCTAACATATGCGAGATCCAAGAGAGGAATGCTATCGGCTGACAGAGGCCCAAGTCCGTAAGGATTTGGCCGTTCAAGACTATGTCTAGGGTTGGAGCTCCATGCCGACTGCCAAGCCCTAAGAGCAGGTTCGATATGTGCATGCATCGCTTCCGTTTCTTGCGGTGTCCATGGACGGCCCATATGCCGTTGTCGAGTTTCCCAGATATAGTTGTGCAAAGCGTGTATCAGCACTAAACAACCGAATGTACTAGGTTTCAAATCACTCTGCGGAAGATCTTCACTGGTGGCGCCAGTGGTAAAATGCGACTGCGCTGGAGAACCCGATTGTCGTCGATGACTGGCCGTAAGAAGCGTAGTCAGGGCTATAGAGAATGGTATTCCTCTGAGGTGAGCCGTAGCTCCCCCCGATGATGCCCAAGCCTGAGCAGACTCCGCAGCCCAAAGCTGTTCGTCACAGGGCAAATCCAATCGAATTTCCGAATTCATAAGTGCTGGGGCATGGTTATAGGCAGAGACTAAAAGGCTGGACAACGTGAAAATGGCATAGAGAGTTCTTTTTCGCTCTTCCACTATTTTCCACTTCATCCATTCCCTATGGTCATGCCACGCCTGTGAATTCATCCCATCCATATGGATATCATTCCCGCCGGGGTTATATCCAAGTTGATCTTGTGGGAGGCTCTCGGCTGGTAAGCAGTGAATCAATTCCGCGGCTCTAGCTAAGCTAACCAAAGCAGCACAATGAGTACTTGCAATGTCTGCTGAAGTTTTGTCACCGCTATTATGTCCATATATAACATTCAAAAGCATAGTCTGAACTAGCCATAGTGGGGTATTGTGAACGGAATTGTCGCGTGGAGAACTTGTTCTATTTAGGGTGGCTGACATGTCTGCTTTTCGTCGCTGTTCAAGGTACACTTGAATCATTTTCTTCGCAGACTCGAAGAGCTCCTTAGACATCGCCGTTTCGAATTCATAAAGGGCACCAATGGCTGCCATAGATAAAATCAAGCATCCCCCTCCATTTGTAATAGTGGTTGAGCCGGAACTTCCAAGTCCATTGGGATTCTTCAGACTACTTGAGTACTCGGGAGCATCAAAATCCAAAGTTGGTATGTGAAGGAATGGCATGTGCGGGTGGAAGTAATTGACATATGCTGCAATGTAGCGTTGGAGGTCAATCGTACTGGGCAAAGTGTATGAGTTAATGCTGAAGGAATGTTGACAGGGAAGGGCACCGGAGCCCGACAATGGGCAATTGTGAGAGGATTGAGAGAATCGACGATTAGGGATAGCAGTGGGCTGTTGTAAACTAGATAAGAGGGCGTGACGAGGAGAATCGGTAGGAGTTTCTGTCGACATTGGTGAAGTGGAATCCGGCATAAAGGTATTGCGCCTAACAGTGGTAGTAGTAGCATCCCCTATATCTCCGTCAGTAACCATTGGGGGATGGAAAATGTTAGTTGGTACTCCAGACAATCTGGACTGTCCCATCGAGGACATGGGCGGCGGTGTTGAAAACGATTGGTCCGAAAACTGGTTCTGTGCAACTGCCAATGACTTGGGTGAGACTGTTTCAGGTTGCATATCCGTAAACGGCGATGAGAATTCTATATTGAACTGATTGGTCGGTGTTTGGGTTTGGACAAGCAATGGATTTGGCCACGGCCCTGAGGAACTGGTCGCGACTTTGTTTGATCCATCAAACATAACATCGCTGATCCCACTTTGACTCCCCGTACTCATAGCTGAAGGAGACGAACCGTCGATAGCAGATTCATTCGTATTGGCGAATGTCATATTGTTCTCAAATCCATGCAACCATTCGGGGTTGAGATCTTCATCAATCAAGCTCTGAGATGTTGCCATGGTTGAAAATGCCGGGTGAAATGGCGATGCTGGGGTATCGGTACCAAAAGGGTGAGGCGACCCAAAGTGTAATTGAGCAGGGTTAATGGTATTACTCCCCTGGTTTAACATAACGTCACCAAAAGGCGATTCATTGAAACTACCAAAAACGGGTGCCGTGCGAAGACCACTTGACAAGTCCATCGGAATACCAGTATCGAGTTTGGTCAAGCCGTTGCTAACGAGCGGCTCAGAAGGGTGTGCCCGGAACTCGTAGTTTGGAAGTCCTGGTATCGAACTTAGGCTAGGGTGGTTTGTGTGTGTAGGATGAGGC